TTAAAATATCTTTTAGCTGCAATTTGACTATCGGTAATAGGCTTAAAACTATGGAATTTTGGAGTTCCAGATAATATCATAGCAAACCTCCTCTGACACTTTTCGTATTGTGCAGTAGATATATAACAGAAACTTAAATTTTGTGATATTTTTATCGGTTTGTGGAACTACCCAGTCGTAGACTTCTCGTGGAGTTTTGATGGTATTTCCGTAATCTCGACCAAGATTTGCTCTTTTCGCCATTTGTTTTAAAGTTCTACCAATAGCGTCGTAGGTACGTTTTCCTTGAGAAATGCCTTTCTGCTTCCAATTTGTGCTTTGAACTTACACAGGCTAGCAAAATATTTCCTGTTTTTATAATGTGCAGTGGTCATACATATAATTTTCGAGAAATCTATTGATTGTTGCAAAAAATCTTGATCCCTTTTTGTTAACAGGGTGAGTGGACTCAGGGATCTATCATATGATTTTTTAAAAGGGTGTCCACTGATAAATAGCATCACTTTCAAAAAGCTATAACATTTTGCCCTTTGAATTATTTTAATTAAATTTTGGTTGAGATGGCATCGTGTATTGTTGTGAGTTACATGGTGAAATTTCTAGTAGTTTTGAAAGTGGAGTCGATGGAACAGCGCAGCACGCGCGAGATAATTTTGCAACCTCAACTACCCACATCTTTCGCACCGAGCCATTGGAAAGATGTTGGAAATCCAACAATCTACTGTTTTTCGTGTCATAAAACATTTAGGAGAACCTTTAACTGTCGATCGGAAGCAAGTGAGTGCAAGAAAAAAAGATCCGTACAGCGTTGAAGACCACAAGCGAGTGGTTGCTGCCTTCAGACGCAAACCCAACTTTTCCGTTCGGGATGTCGCAAAAAAAAACTGCACCTGACAAAAAGTTTCGTGCCTAAAGCCAAGAAACGAGCAGGACTACGTTCATTCATGGTTTAAAAAGCACCAAACCACAATGAACGACAGAATAGGACAGCTAGAACGCGGGCACGTAAGCTGTACACACAAATGTTGACAAAACCACACTGCTGTATCATGAACTATGAAACATACGTAAAAGCGGACTTCATACTAATTCTGGGAAACCAGAATGTGACTGCTAAAGACAAGTTCGATGTTTCACAGTCCTTCAGGAAACAGACAGCAAGTGTCGAAGTTCCACCTAAAATTCTTGATTTGGCAGGCGATTTTTTCGTGCGCAAAACGGATCAAGCTATACGTAACTACTACAGTTGTGGCCGATTGAAAGATACTGGGCTACAATGAAGCACGAACTCCATAAACACCCTAAAGTTGTCACTACGGAGCAAGAAATGTTGAAATCATGGTTGAAAGCAGAAAAAAAATCTATTCAACTGTGGTAAAAAAAACCTTATGCGTGGAATTAAGAAGAAAGTTCAGACATTTGGATTTGGTGAATAAATCGAATGAAATAAAAATACGTTAACCAAGCTTAAATATAGTTTTATATTCCCTGAAAATTTCATGACAATGGGTTGCGAGACTTATTTTTGGCGAGTACTTCTAAATGATGCAATTTAACTGTGGGCACCCTTTGAATACTCTCAACATCGAACATGATACATACATTGTTCAAAGTACGAGTCCCTAAAATTTGCCAAAAAACGCAGTTTAAAAAATTTGGGAACACTTGATCCCTGATATTCATTTAATATTAATGGTCACACATTCCGACGAGAAATGATTGAAAATTCAGCGGTTTCAAGTATCACAAACAGAGATGTATTTTTGTATAAGGGAAACAGCCCTATTGTTGCGGTACGTTAGCAGCGTTAGAAGTCTTCTAACGCTGCTAACGTACCGCTTCTAACGCTGCTAACGTACCGCAACAATAGGGCTGTTTCCTCTACTCTCATATCTTAGGAATAAGTGTGTCTATTCCTTGAAGAATCATATCTCTCCTTACTAAGTTTCCGTCTTCAAATCAAACTGATCAAATTAACTAAAGAAACAGAAATTATTAATGATTCTACTTATTCAAAGCTTTTAACGGAGTAAATTTGATGCGTTTTTGTTCAATATCTAAAAAGTTATTAAAAATATTCATACAGGCTAAACAAAAAAATCACAAGGAGTGGAAACAAAAATACTGCTCTCAAATATACATACGATCCAGAAACTTACGAAAATACCAATTGGTATAACATTACCTTCCATCTAGACGAAACATTTGTCAAAATTTTCCCGAAAAATCCCTTTTGTATTTCGGTGCCCCAGGGATCGTGTGTCAAGTTTCCTCGATGGTTTTGAACCTGACTGAAGCTACATGAAGTACGAGTAATTTTAGTTAACGCTCCTTTTTAAATTACCTTTTTGACTATTTATTAAAGAACATCAAACCAAATACGGCTGAAATTTTGCTCATTTGCAATGAAAACATTGGTCATTCAAATATGTTACTGAGCGGCGCCGGTGGTGTAGTGGTAGCCGTTGGTCCCCGGTTCATGAGTTGATGGGTCGATAGGTAGGTCCAGGTGTGGGAGCTGCATCCCTGGCATCGGTAGCATTGATGCTCAGCACGGAAAACAAGATCGACGGAAAACAAATTAAGGAAAAAAAATATGTTACTGAAATCAATTCACGACGAAAAAATAAAAACAGCTTTTCTACAGTCTTAGATCATTTTTAGCCAAGACTGCTGGCCGCAAAGTGAAAACTTGTATCGATCAAATTCAAAATTTAGCCAGCGCTGGTGGTGTAGTGGTAAGTGTGATTACTTTCTCCCCCCCAATAGGTCTGGGTTCAATCCCAGTCGAGGTCGGTAGGATTTTTCTGAAGCATAAACATCTCGAAAAAAAATACGAAAGAACAAAATAGTTACTAATTCACACTTAGTATTTTGTTTAGTATACAAGATGCAGGTAAAATGCGAAGTATCTGATTTCGATGTAATTCAGTAAGACGGTAAAGCGTTCAAATGTGAGAACGAGAGAGTTCTGTCAGATAAAGATAGAAGGTATGAAAAAGAGAATACGGAAGTGTAAAGTTTACGAACTGGAATAAACATAATAAGAAATCATTTGGTGATAAACCAGAATACAAGTGTTTTTACTTTACTCCCGGATATCTTCCCCCGAAGTCTCAAATACAAAATTTTGTAGTCATCCTAACCCCTATATTCATCACATTGATGTGAGCTACGATGAAATTCTTGTTTGCTGCCCCCGAGAAGGTACCACTTTAAACGTAGTCGTGAAGGGCCAGTGGTTGTTTAAGCCCAACTGAAATAACAGAGCATTTATAATCATTTGAGACCATACGATTTATCTTACTGCGAAGGCCTCTAGTAGTTCTTGAAGAAAGAAAGCGTCACTTGGTTTGTTGATAACATAATATAGCTTGATCGTCAGCGTAAGATTTTTTGTGGCATTTAAGGGCGGTCTTTCTGTTAACATCTTTCATGGAATGGCTCAATATTGCTGCCTTGTGGTGCTCCAGACTTAACTGGAAACGAAGACTAAACATAATCACCAATTCAGTTGTTAAAAAAAGTTAGAGGAAAATGAATGTAAATGATTGCAAATGATTTTTAATGCCTGGTTTTGACTATGCAGTCCATCGAGTTCAATCGAGACGGAACCGGTAGTTCAATGCACTGATTTTCAGCTCAGCGACCAGAAAGTCGTAAAAAGTATTGTCGGTAAAATGTGACGTATGCTCCACACGGTTGAGTCCTTCCGGAGAAGATATGAGGATAAATCCTAATTTAGAAAAACGTTACTGATAAAACTCACGCGGAACGGTACAAACTGCTTTCGGGGGCGTCATTTCAGTTCAATAGCTTTTTTTCTACGGTCGTAGTGGTTTGTTGTGATGAAAGTGGCTTGGAGACCTAGCGTCGACCATTTTAGCTTACTGAGTAGGTCGTGGGTTCTACCTCAAACCCCTTTACATGGGGCATGAAGTACTTCGCCTCCTCATGGTGTGCCCTGGAAACGTTAATTATCGAACCCAAGGGAGAAATATTGCGGCTAAACGAACTACAGCAGAGTAAGGACGCTGGAGCCCCATCCAGCTCGTCCCAGTAGGTCGATAAGCCCTGCACAATCCCGCGTTGTGCAAAGGCAGGAGTGACACCGGGTTCTTAGAGTGCTAAGCACACGCAGCTGGTAAGCGGTCAAATCTGTCCTGTGCTGCCGTGGACAGTTGGCTGGCTATCACGTCTGCTCTAGAACTCAGGCGAACAATTGAGAGCGAACAATAAGAGGAATGCCCTGTGCAGTAGCGGGTGTCACGTCTGTGACACACCACTAGTGTGATGCGCCATAGCGCAACCGCCCCCTCCCATGATGCAATGCTTTCGGGCGGTTCCGGGGAGGGCAAAGGCCAAGAGCACAGGGTAAAGTTTAGTGGGTCGGGAGCGCTACTTCTCCCATCCCCACACCCTGAGTTATCTTCTCAGGTGTCTGGGAGCAGATTCCCCCTGTATAAAAAAAAAGAAAAAAAAAATAAAAAAATAAAAAAAAATAAAAAAAAATAAAAAAAATAAACCCTTTACATTACTGAGTTGATAAGGTCACATCCTCGCAGTATTTGCTCACCATGTCAAACAAAAAATCCTTTGCCTCACTGATGATCATAAGGACGTGGCCGATACCGTTATTGACCTTGAATCTGATTCACCGAAGTTTGCACACTTAGCACAAATTGCTAATTCAAAGCCTCATTAATTTGATTATTCGTGCAAATTTGACAAGATCTGATTAATCTTGGAGTGGCAACTACGCAGTATATGGTAATCAATGATAATGATCATGCTCAGTTACCTAATCAAGCTGTTACCTTTATTAAGAGGTAAGTTAGCTTCGAAAACTCGTTGCATCTTCGTGACTTGCGTACTAAGCATACTAGAATTATTATAGATCAGATGGCCTTCTATCACTTGGAGGACAAAAAAAAATCACTAGCTACCGACGCTTTTTTTAGTGGTTCTATCCATCGGAAGACTGAAAGCTGATCACTTACCTTTGAGAATGTACAGCAAGCATACAGCCTTCAGAAGGCCGTGTACATCCATTATTATGCAGCTCCGTTAAATTCATATGATGAACAACAATGATGGAAACCAGCAGCTATTACTGCTTCGTGCAGAAATTACCGCATGACATATTAGTGCTCATTAGATTTTCATTGCACATCGTCCACATTTCAACACTTTAACACAAAAGCCACTAATTACAGCTTCGCTCAAGTCACTTAATTAAGATTCTAAAACTTTTTCTGCACTTAAAAATATGATCTCAGGTCGGTAAGTCTCCGTCTTAATTTGGTTTTCAATTATCAACCGTCAGTTCCAGTAACTTTTCCAATTCACGGCTACGACTTTCGGATCACTACTATATACATTCACACCATTAATTATTTCACACTTTGGCAGTCCCGTTAGTGAACTTCTACGATTCACTAGAAGAGTGAGGACGAGAACTCTTTTTCACAGTTGAACCGATGTCGCTGGCATCGTAAGCAACACGAACGGGAGGAGATTTGGCTTAACTTTCGTTATGTTGATGAAGTCAGTTGAGCGATAATCCTGGAAGAAAACGGAAGACAAGAAGATGAAATCGTTAGAAAACTTTTACATTATACGAAATTTTCAATGTTAAAACAAAAGCGCAGCATTTTTTCAGGAAAAGTTTGTCTTACCCACTCAGTCTCTTCGGGAACATCAACTTTACCGAAAGAAGCAAGTGTGACCAATTTTGCATATTAATAATTAATCAGATGAAAAGAGATGTTTTATGCACGCAGATGCTACACACAGTTTATTACGATCCACGAGCGTCTAAATGAAACGTAAGTGCTTTTGCCGAATTTATGTTCAATTGAATTCCTCCCCAGAGCCTCCCTTGTGGAAGATCTCTAAAATGAAAACCCATGTAACGTGTTCCTGAAAAGACTACAGTGACTCTGCAGTTAGAAGATGAAAATGTATTGTGGGCTTTGCCCTCAATTAGACTCAACAAATTTTGCACACCGCTTTCAGCATAAATTGGTTTCGTTGCTACAATTTTCAATAGCGTGTTCGTTTTTGGAGTTGGTGTATCGAATAATCGGTTTGTTTACATGCTATTCGCTTTGTGATTGACACGTAAACCAAATTTCTCCCCGATCTCATATATTCACGATGGTTTAAAAACCAAAGCAAAGCACAATACCCTCATTTTTGACAGGTTTTACAATTCCAAGGTCAGTTTAACTTTTTGACCTTTTAAAAATTAATCTAGGCCACATTAAACAAATTTTTATAATTATAGGCTAGTTTAGTGACTGTGAGGTTAATATCAAGGCTTTTTAGAGAGATGTTTCTAGAAGCCATTTCAGCGATTTGAGACTTTTATTGTGAATTTTGGTAATTTTTAGCGATCTTGGCCCACTGTCTTTGTACCATTTCATCACCATTTACTCATTTCCATGAGTAACCAGCTCCAACAACTTTTTTTTTCTAATCCAAACAAGGGGAGATCTACATGTGTTCCTCTGATAATGCTACCCTCATGCATTGGATGCCCCTTAATATTACTATGCATTTACTATGTATATTAGAGCAAAATTGCATATGCGCCAAAAAAAAAAAACTTATTGAGAATATTACAAATTCAGATAAAAAAAAACGCTTGAAAAAGTATCCGCCTACAATCGTGAAATAAATAATGTTGCTAACCATCAGATATGCAATTTATTGTACCCACGAGATACAAACAGTTTGTTTTTATTTTGGTCGATTCATGAATGCTCATGTGGTCTTCTATATTAATAGTTCCTACAGTCGAATATCCTATTCCCGGGTGGTTTTTTTTTTGCCCGTATTCCTTTATTAGGAGTGCTTGAGCTTCGGCAGGTAGAATGCTGACCTGATATGCTTTTCTTTTCAGCGAACTAATGACGTCCAAGCACTCGGAAAGAAATCCCCTCATACCTTTTGGCAATTTTATGTTTTAAGGCTCTGAACCATTTGGTGGATTATTTTAACTTTTGGTTAAAATTTGACAGATGAAAAGTTATCGATTAACCCTGCTATCCGAGCGTGGTTACTTCTGACAGACAAGAAGTTAAATTTTGACGACCGTGGCTCGAAAACCGGTCGATCGACAGCACGGGGATTTTCGAACATAAGAAATAACTTTCGAAATGTCACTTTTAACCACGAGTTAAATTTAACTCGGCAAATGGTTCACAGCCTAAATTTGTCGAACCTCTTAACGGAATCCCTTTATGAAGAGCTTTGAGTGTGTTGGTTTATTTCCTTTAAATTCCGTTATAATTGCTTATCTTTTGACAGATACGTGTATTTCGTCTACTATTTGCAGACTTCATCAATGCCAAGTGGTGTTGAGTAGTTGGCACTGATGAAGTCTGCAAGTAGTAGACAAAATACGCGTACTGTCAAAAGATAAGCAATTATAACGGAATTTAAGGTAAATAAACCAACACACTCAAAGCTCTTCATAAATTTATGTTATCATAAAATGTATAAGCCAAGCAGACGACTTGCAAAAAAGTCAATGAAGATCGTGTGTCAAATGGTCACACAGAAAACTTAAGAAACAATTTCGAAAACTTCAGAAACAATTTCAAAAACTTCAGAAACAATTTCGAAAACTTCAGAAACAATTTCGTTTAGAAAACTTCAGAAACAATTCAGAACACTTCAGAAACCTCCCGAGACCTTTGGGAAGTTTAAAGATCTTAAAAGTTAAGTTTGAAGAACTTAATCGCAGCTTGGTAAACTTCAGTAAACTCTCGATTGAAATCAGAGAACTCCAGGATAGTTACATTAACTTCAAGAAAATTGAAGAAACTTTACAGAAGTTTTAAAAACTTCGTGGAAGCTCATAAATCTTCAGGTATGTTTAAATATCTTGAGAGAGAACTTTGAAACACTGAGAGCTTCAGAGCAGTTCCATGAACATCAGACACATTGTGGGAATTCATCTAAGAACAAAGAAGAACAAGTTCAGAAAGCTTCAAAGAAGTTTAGATATCTTAAGTATTTACGTGAGTGCTTCTGAGAGCTTCTGGGCAGTTCCACGACCATCATAAACAATAATGTAGTTTTGAGAGCCCAAAAAATTGGAACTTTCTTTTAATTATTTTTATTTTAGGAAAATTATTTGTTACCAATAAATATATTTGAGTGTTTTATAAAATATCAAATATCCTAAAAGAAGATCCGAAGAGTAGTTCCTACAATTTCATGATCGTCTGGAGAGCTTCAGGCAAGTTAAAATTTCCTTAAAGAGTAAGTTCCAAACAGTGCTGGTCCATAGATTTCATGAAAATGTCTAGAACTTTTGTGTAGATTAGAGACCTTCATGGATGTACTAATGAGTTTGAGAAATAAGGAGGATCATTACAGAGGTTTCTGGGTGATATATATGTGAACTTTAGGGAAGTTCCAAGAACTGCAGGAAAGATAAGTGATCTTCAGGGCAGTTCTATTAACTACAGTTATATTAGCTAAAAGAATTAGGAGAAACAGCCCTATTGTTGCGGTACGTTAGCAGTGCTAGAAGCCTATTGTTGTGTATGGAGACCTGCATACACCACAATAGGCTTCTAACGCTGCTAACGTATCGCAACAATAGGGCTATTTCCCCTACTTGTTATTTTCTAGCTATAAACATAAATTGACACATTTAAATTGCTTTTAATATGGAGAAAAGCAATAATCTGCAACTCATAAGTTTACACTGTAACATAAGCGTAACCTAAATATTGTAAAACTGCTGTGACCAATTCAACTGATTTAAATCTCTGAGCCAAACAATATCTCACTCGGCTTTTTAAATCGTAAGCGATCGGGTTGTCCTTTGGTAGAGTTCGGCTGACTTTTAGTTTATCCCAAGGTTTATCCTTCATTCCATCTACACTTTACCAAAACATCATCCTCTGTTCAAATGAAACCTCAGACCTTTCAAATCGAAACATCGAAATCGCTTCTTCGAATGAAAACTGCAACCGGACGGGATCCTATCCTTAAATTGTTATCGTCTGAGCGCTGTATGTTTTACAGCAAATATCATCCTTTATTTGAATGACACTCATATGGATTCTTATCATTGATGACGAATTCAAGCACAAGGCAATCATACGAAATTCTAAAGCGTTTTGTTAAAGCAATGCAAAAATCATTCAAACTATTGCGGATGTTTTTGTACAGTGTACTGCTATCAGTTCTAAATCTACTTGCAGAGTCACTTGGTTCACTGAACCAATATGCCATAGAAGAAACAGCCCTATTGTTGCGGTACGTTAGCAGCGTTAGAAGCCTATTAGGTTTTGCACCGTCAGGGTTAGCCTCAATCTGAAGACAGTTCAGTGGTACTGTTTACGTGGACTTAGTCGATTTTTTCTTGGGTGGATTTTCTCGATAATTTTTCAGACTATAGTGAGATGTAAACCACACCTCTGCAATGTCCACGAGCAACATCCTTTCAACGCGCTGTTCCTCCACAATTTTCAAGTTAAAATTCGGAAATTTTAGAATATTTTTTTTTCGAAAAGTGCTTGTAAACAGTACCACTGAACTGTCAAAACGGTTCAGCCGATTAACACTGAGTTCATTTGTGACGTCACACTGCAGTACCTAATTGTTGTGTATGGAGGTCTCCATACACAACAATAGGCTTCTAACGCTGCTAACGTACCGGAACAATAGGGCTGTTTCCCCTATTCCTGTTTTGTGGAAATCTAATAAATTTGCGATATAATAAAATCCAATGAAAACGGTATGATTGAAAATGTGACAGGTAAATACTATATGAATATCTGATACATTTATAATACTTATAAGTTGGTAACTTTCATATAATCGTCATATGACAAATAAAAACGGGCAAATTATAAGAATTAACTGAAATGGATTTGAAACCCATAAGCATAAGCTTTACTTTTCACTATAATATCATATAGGAGAAATGGTTCTAATGTTGGCCTATGGATCTAAGATTGGGCCCATCACTAAAAATCTGCTATTTATCAATTTTATCTAGATGAACGCGTCAATTGGACGGTACTAATGGATATTTTTGGTCACTATTAAAAATTTAGTCGATTGCTGAATTTATGTGTGGGGCAAAATTAGGGGCATTTAGGCCGACATTACATCCATTTCCCCCAATGTTATAAATCAATCTTAAAAAATGGACACATATATTTTATCGGTTCTAAAAATAAATCGAAAAATAAACATCAGATCAGGCAGTGCGAGCTGGTGCTTTGAGTGCTTTCACTGTTGCGTATTTTAATTGTATAGCTGATTTGGGATTCGCTCCAGAACTGTCGAGGTGTGATGTTGTCGGTGTCTTCGCTTGGTTCCACTGGACCACGGCTGACTTCGAGATAGAGCTCGTTCAATTAGCATGAATAGTGCAACGTTATGCTCGTTTTGCTAGAGTGAAGAAAAATAGCAGTGGCAAATTTGTGAAGAAGAGAAGCTTCGCAGCATTCTAGAACCTCAGTCGGAGTCTACAAACAAATTTTCAATCGCTTGTCTCATTTTCTCCCGTCGCTTTTTGGTCTTTCTTTCAA